CCTCATGATGTCAGAGCTGGAGTCTCGAAGCGGCCAACATTGGCTATTGGACGGTGAGTGGGTGATGGGCAGGCTGGGCTTGTGGGAAGGAGCAGGTCACGGTACCCTTCCTCCCTCCCTTGACTCCATACAGAATGGAAAATTTTGTGTCATTGATTTAATATTGGAATTTGGCAACATAGAAACCCATCATGGCGAAGCCTCTTCATTTTCTGCCTGGACACCATTGCCATGAAAGCCCTGACTTGAGGGGAGCCTGCTGAATGGCTCCCATTGCCTCAGTTCCACGGTTAGCATGGCAATCACACTCTGGGTATATTCATCTTAAGTTAGAGGCTTTTTCCTTCAGCAGGGCTGTACAAATCCCAACCTGACAGATAACAGAGATAGGATATCTGAAAATCCTATATTGAGTATATAGGAAGCAGTAATAAAATGGGTGACCTGAGTGTGGTGGTGTACTTGGGAGGCTTTAAGTTAGAGGCTTTTTCCTTCAGCAGGGCTGTACAAATCCCAACCTGACACATAACAGAGATAGGATATCTGAAAATCGTATATTGAGTATATAGGAAGCAGTAATAAAATGGGTGACCTTAGCTGAGTGTGGTGGCGTACTTGGGAGGCCGAGGCAGGAGATGACTACAAGTTGGAAGTCAGCCTGGGCTACATAGTGAGTTCCAGGCCAGCTTGGGTTACAGTGGGAGCCTCTCTCAGAAAGTCTTTGGAGAGCATCACAGTGCTGTGCAAACATTTAGCTGTCAATGCTGTAAGCGAATATATTGATGAAAGGGTTGAGATAGTTTTTATAGAAAAGTGAGCAGGTGGCTGTTCCTCAGGTGGAAGAATTGGGGTTAGGAAAGATAGCTTGACTGGTGGGTCTGAGACTGTGCTCAGGGTGAGGTGGAAGAAAGGGGGTTACAAAGGTGGATTTGGGGTGGGTAGTAGAGACTGTGCTCAGGTAAGAGAGGCATGGCTCAGCCTAGTATTTTTTCTCAGCTTGCAAGCACAAAGAGGCAGAGGTGGAGTATGTACATGTCAGTCAGACTTTATGTTGCTGTGATCAAATACTTGAGAAAGTGCCTTATGGGAGGGAGGATTTTTTATTGGTGTATATAATTATATATGGGTTTCATTGTGAAATGTTATACATGCATGTCATGTATTCTGCTGACTCCCCATTATTCCCTGTCTTACTCTTCCTGATCTCCCCTTTCTTTTCCCAACTAGTCCCCCTTCTACTTTCATGTGTTTTAGATTTTTGGCTCCCCAATGAATTTAATTAGGGATTATAGGAGCATGGGTGAATGGTTGTTTGCAGGAGCATAGGCAACTTACCAGTAAAGAAAATGTCTCTCCCTCTTCCAGAAACACCACTAACAGTCTGTACCTCATCAGGGAATGGCAGAGTTTTGTGACCCTCTCAATGATAGAAAGATGATGGGTTCACTCTTATGCAGGCTTTGTGCAAGTAATCACAACTACTGAGAGTTCAAAAGAGCAAAGGCCACATCATGCCTAGAAGTTGGTGGTCTACTCCTTCCTCTAACTCCTGCATTCAACGTTGAGGGAGGTTGTCCTGTTTAGGGATGAGTACTCAACAGTCACTTATTCCTAGCACTTTGACCAGTTATATAAGCCTCTGCATTAGGCATCACCCATTGTAAACAGGAGTTCCTTTGACCAAACCCTGATGGCAGCACTAATCTATGATCGTAAACCCAGATATTTAGAAGGCAATTTAATGGGCACATTATTCCACTTAGCAAAACAACAGCAGTAGATTCCCCACTAGTTTTTGACCAAGTTTATAGTACCAGCTGTACATTCCGTGCTGTGGAATGGTCTTTAATTCCAACCAGAAAACAATTGGTTACCCATATAATAGTCATGCCACTATTGCACCAGTACTGTAGCATGCAGGATGCACAACTGAATAATAATTCTTCACCAGCAGTATGGTTACAGGTGTGTACCACCTTACCGACTGTCCCAATATTTTTGTGTACTTGCAATGAACTCTGTCTAGTTTGCTGTCACATAACGGTAAACCATTTAAAGTTCTTTAATTGTAAGGCCTCTCTTATAAAATGTATACTTTTAGGAAACTGAAATGTATGTTAAGAAGGGACCATATCTATGTTACATTCCTTTAGGAAGGTGGCTAGTGGCCCTGGTGCCAGACTGCTGCTTGAACACTAACTCATCATTGTATATAACCTTGGGCAGATCACCTTACCTCTGATTCCTCTGGAAGATAGATTAGGAAAGAGTGTAAGGATGGAGTGAGTGAGTGGATCCAAAATGCTTAGAGGAGTAACATCTAAGTCAGTGCCATGGGATTTTGTTATTTGTCATGGCTGGTATACAGGTCCTGGATTTTTGGTGGGTGACTACATGAAGTGTTTAGTTCAAAAATAGCTTTAAGAAATTTAGCCATGCAGAATTGAAAAGCCAGCCAGTTATGGAATGTTTTATGTCTCTTTTTCAATGCTTGCCTTTCCCATAACTGTTCTCTCGGGGAGAATAACTGAAGTTCTTTTACATCACAGGCCTGTTTTTAGTGAAGTGCGTCAGTATCCCAACTGATTTAGTTTGCATTTTTCTTGAAAACCCATCTGGTCACTTTCAGTTGTGATTTTTCTCCAGAGCTCTGGAATCCATCCATTTGGCAGTGAGGACTGCCTGGTCCCTGTGTTCTACTTTAGACTCCTTATGTTGCAGGGGAACATGCTCGTGCTTAGCGGAGGATGTGCTTGTTGAGTGTGCTAAAGGTGACCGAATGTGTAGAGGCCGGTCTCGGAAGGGATTCTGGATGACAGATGACTCATTGCCATCATCCATATGGCTTTGGAGCAGCATCCTGCTAATTGTGGGTGGAAGTGGGTACAGCCGGATACAAGCTAAGGGAACACCAAGTGGGGTGGAGAGGTGGCCAGTGCTCTGGCATGGCTAGCTCTGTCCTTCCTGAAATGTTCAGCAGTACCTCACAGTACTTGGGGAAGAAGTACTGTTTTCCTTTTCTGTTTTTAGAGTCTCACTATGTATCCCTCTACCCTTAACTCATGGTTATCACTATCTCAGCCTTTTGAATGCTGGGATTACAGATGTGCATGGGAATTCTATTTTTATATCCTCATTTTCTGTACAGAAGTCAGGGCTGCTTGAATGTACCATGTTGCCATGTGTGTTTGTTTTCCCTAGAGTGAGTGATCTCAGACCTGAAGTAGTCTAGGGCACCCACGCCCTTACTCAGAGCCCTTGTGATGGAGGTGTGTGTCCAGAAACTGAACCACAGGCACTAGAGCTAAGGATTTCATTCTGCTTTTGCAGAGCTCTTTTTACCAGATTAGACTGATTTCTAGTATCTGACCTTATCCCTCTGTATTTTTCTTTGTGAAGCAGACTTCTGAAGAGCACTGTCTCCTACTGGGCAGCATATGTCTACTGGAAAAAAAAAACAATATATTTTGAATTGTATCTTTTCAGAAGTACCAAGAGCAATGTTTTTGTTTGTTTGTTTGTTTGGTTGGTTTTTTTTTTTTTTGGCATTGCCCTTCTGAAAGTAGGGTATGCTTCAAGAATGAAATCTTTGGGACTGAGGGATGATTCAGTGGTTAAAAGTGTTTGCTGCTTTTGCAGAGGAGCAGAGTTCAATCCCCAGCACCCACCCCATGTTGGGGAGCTGACAGTGGCTTGTAACTCCAGCTTGGTAGCATCCCTTGTCCCCTTCTGTACTCTTTGGGTGCATGTGCCCACAGACACATACACATAAATTTAAAAAATTATATCAGCTGGCCTGGAACTCACTATGTAGACCAGGCTTGCCTGGATCTCACAAAGATCCCCTGGTCTCTGCCTCCCAAATGCTGGGATTAAAGGCGTGCACCACTACACCTGGCTATCTTTTTAAAAATATTTTATTTATTATTTTTATTTTATGTGTATGAGTGTTATGCCTGCATGTAGGTAAGTGCACCCGTGTCATGCAATGCCCACAGAGGACAGAAGAGGCTGTCGGATCCCCTGGAACTGGAGTTATGGACAGTTGTTAGTTGCCATGTGGGTGCTGGGATTCGAACCTGGGTCTTCTGCAAGAACAGTCAGTGTTCTTAACCACTGAGCCATCTCTCCAGCCCCTGGCTATCTTTTTTTAAAAAAGAAAGAAGTAAAATATTTAATAGATCTGTTTAGAAGATCACTGAAGAATTGTTTTTGAATAAAACATAAAACATGCCCCACCTTCAGCATATGTGTGCAACCTCTTGCATATATGTGTAAGAGGGCCTTGGTTCCTTCTAAAGCATGTGAAGTGTGGCATAGCTGATTGTACACTTGACTGCTGCCAGGAAGGAAAAAGGAGGAAACATTTGTTGAGAAGAGGGAAGAGGGCTGGTGATGTGGCTCAGCTAGTGAAAATGTTTGCTGTGCAAAGCCTGGCTACCTGAGTTGGAGCCTCAGAATGCACAACTGACTCCCAGAAGTTGCCTTCTGACCGCCACGGATGTACCACACTGCGCATGTCTACACTCATACATTGCATGTGCGTGCATGTGCAGACACATGATAGCTACAATGAAATCATCTTTTAAAAAGGTAGCAAAGAAAAGCACACAAAACTCGCTAACAGCAAGGGTGGCAGATGTACATGCCATCAGCTGGAGTTAGGCATCCCTGTTCCAGGAGGTAAATGGAATGGCAGCATGAAAAGAGATGGGCCTCAAGAAAGTATAAATACATCTCTGACAGTTTTTCTGCACCCAGTATTCTCATGAGGAAAGGATTTGAGCAATGGCTCTTTTTTTTTTTTTTTTTTTTTTTGAGACAGGGGCTTCCTGTAGCCCCAGCTGGCCTGGAACTCACTATGTAGACCAGGCTGGCCTTGAACTCACAGAGATCTGCCTTCCTCTGCCTCCCGAGTGCTGGGATTAAAAGCGTGAGCCACCACACTTGGCCACCGAGCAATGGCTCTTAAGTGAGTGCAGCTCCTATCATATTCTTTGTGGGCACACTTTTTTCTATTGTGATTATTGTACTTGGAAGAAAGGGCTTGATT